CACCATCTCAAGACCCCAGGTTTCTATAGCCTTCCCATCCTGCTCATTATATTGAAATTTTATTTAAGGAAAAAAAAAAGACGTTATTCAGACAGCTTCCAACTCTCAGCTGCCTAAGTACTTGGCCAGTGGAAGGAGTCTATTATTAGTATAGAGAATATGAGTATTCCTACTCTGAACATCGGTGTGAGTAAATGGTTAGAATGGGTCACTTGACTCTTCTGATAAAGTACCTCATGTCGCCATGACGAAGAATTTGAGGTATGTATCTTGAGTTCTTTTATAAGACATTTCTCCCCTTTTCTGAGGATTATATAATCTGTGTAGTGAGTGAGGTAAGATAGGCGGTACTTACTGTTAACAGTTCTTGACTCCCAAATGCTGACATTTTGAACATGAAAAAATAATCAGTTTGATGAGTTGCTTGACAGTTTTTGTGGTTTTTTTTTTTGTTAAAATTTTAAAAGTGTGGGGTTTATGTATAAATACAAACTTACCAGCAGAACTCAGACATGGTTGATTTGTAATTTAGTTTTTTGTAACCCAATTAAGTAAGTGACTGCCTCCTGTTCAGGAGCTGGGGTGTATCTTCTCTTTTCTTTTTCCTCAACCAAATAAATAAAAGGACCTATTGTCCCTAGCCCACATTTTGTAGAGAGACACATTTCATTGCTCACTGTGGTAATTTTCTGTGTTGGGTAGTAATGTAACAACAGTTTTCTGATTTGGAGGTCATTACTTCTGCTGGGTCAACATGGAGAAAAATGAATCATGTAGTTCTTGCCATATTCTTAATCCCGTTTAAAACATCTTCTTGACTAATCCCTAGGACTGTGGGTCAAATAATGAGTCAGAAAATGAAATGAAGACTCTTAGATTTATTCTGATCTTAGGAAATAGGGTTAATTGCTAGACATTGCTCCAGAATACCTTTGGAACAAAGTGCGGATTTAAGGTTTGCTTAGGGTGTTTTAAACTCTTTTGAAATATTTATCTTATGCTTTTTTCAGTTAATTGGACAGGAAATAATCTGCCCCTTGGGACTAGGTATGCCATATTTACAAAGTGACACATCACAGGAGTATTATTTGGTGTCAAATAAAAAGTTCCCCTAACAGAGATGTCTTGGGAAAGAATCCTTTCTATAACTTACCGTTTGTTCCTTTGTGGAATTAGTAAATATTAATAATACTAGAGTGACAATTTATTTGACATTAGAAAGGATAGATATAGTATTGCTAATATTTTCATATTCTAGCTATTTACCCTTTTGTTGACATTCATCTTTTAAAGTGATAAATTTGTTTGGTAAATAGTACTGTAAATGAAAAATATTTCTAAGATTTATTATACCTTTTTTGCATTCTTAAACAGTTTAAAATAATATTTTAATGACAGACTCAATCTGAAGGTCATCATTCCCTTGTACTTAAGATTACTTTAAGGGCAATTTAAGATTATTATCTTTTACTTTTTTTTTTTCTTTAAAGATTTTATTTATTTGACTGAGAGAAATAGCAGGAGAGAGAACACAAGCAGAGGGAGTGGGAGAAGGAGAAGCAGGCTTCCTACTGAGCAGGGAGGTGGACATGGGGCTTGATTCCAGGACCCTAGGATCATGATCTGAGCCAAAGTCAGATGCTTAACAACTGAGCCACCCAGTTGCCCCAAGATTATTTTAAGGATAGTTCGAGATTTGCCTTCAAGCATCAATCATAGTCACCCCCTGCCATTTAATTTTTCAAATTTTTTGCTCTTGCTGCTGGTTTTCATACCTCCCACAGGCCTTCCTTCCAGCAGCACTTTGTTGCTTGAACTCCTATAGGTTAGGTTGTCTTTAAGGTATATTCTTTAGTTTTGTGCAGTATGTTAGTATACTAGATCAGAGTTGTTAGAACCATGTCTAAAACAAATGTAAGTCGATTCTAGGCAAAAGTATATTCTTTACTGTGTTTTGCTCCCCTTCCCCCCATTCCTGGTCTCTGCTATGGTGCATGCATTTATGTAACTTAAAAAAAAAACTTTGGTATTTGGTTTTGCAGGTCCATAACTTAGATGAATATTTGCTGAATTAATTTGGATAAATGAGTCTTTCCTTTTGAGAATTGTAGAAATTTTCCTCTTCCATTTCTGCTTTAAGAAAGAGAAATGGGGATAGACTTGAACTTTGAATTCAGATAATTATTTTATTTCATTAGCTATTTCATTACAAGCTCATTTTAAATTATCAATCCATATTTGGAGGTAAATAGATATTCCAGAAGGCATTTTCTTATTGTAATTAGTATTCTATATAAATAGGTGTGTATGCATATATTTATATGCTATATAAAAATAGGGTTTTTTTTTTTAATGTATTTGATAGAGGCAAGGAGCAAGCACGAGTGGGGAGGGGAGGGGGAGAGGGAGAGAATTTCAAGCAGACTCTGTGCTGAGTGTGGAGCCTGACCCTGGGCCTCTATCTCACGATCCTGAGATGATGACCTGAGTCGAAAGCAGGAGTTGGTTGCTAAGCCGACTGAGCCACCCAGGCACCCCAGAAATAAGGATTTTTTTAAATACAGCATTGAAAAATATCTCCTATGCGTCAGCGTTTTAACAAATTAAATCCGTAACATTGCTAGTGAATCTGTGGTGCTCCCCTGTCCACTTTTTTCTTTTATTTTTTAAAATTTTAGTGATGCTCTATATTGTTCTTATAGTTTTTATGTTCAAGACACATAGAAGTATTGGAAATCATTATTTTCCCCCATTGACATTGCCAAAGTTTTCACCCAGTCTCCCCCTCCCATGGCTGTGTTCAGATATTGAAACAGTGAAGCCTGTTTTAAGTGGATTTAATATGCGATGTTATAATCTATGCCCAGTAAGAATTTTTTTAATGTAAACGTTATGATTTTGTGTAGCCAGCTTTTAGGAGACTGCTAATAATAGATCTTACTAGAAACAGATTAGATGATCATATGTTATTTGGTAAGTATTCTTTTGTGAATTCACCTTATGACTATAAATCTGGCCCTTTTTGATAGGTCTGTTAATATTTAAAGAACATTAGAAAGAGAAATTGACTTTTTCGTTAAGAATGAATTTTGTCTTAGTCACATTTTTATAGACTTAAATATAGATATCTAGATAAAATGTAGTATTTGAGTGTGTATACGCACACATCGACTCGTTCTCAGACTGATTTAGTTTTTTATGACCTCTTTTGAAAAGTTGAACTAGTGATTTGTTTAAAAAACTACATATCTTTTTAATAAGAAGAATTTCATTTCATTTTTTCTTCCTGAAGATTTGTCAGTATAGTTGCTTTTAGCCAATGGATACTACTATCAGTATTCTGTAATGAGAGCTGGATTTAGGGGTGAGAAAGCAGGTTCTAGATTAGAGCTAGTGAGCTTTCTCAAAGTCAGGTAACTTGGCCCACTCATGTGGGTCAGGGAACTCGGGACCAGGGAAGTCAGGGTTAATTCCTAGTCCTGCCCAGTTTGTGCCTGGGACTTGGAGTAAACCACGTAATCTTTTTTCTATAAAACATGGATGATGATTCTTGTCCTTACCCTCAATGGTTCTGAACTAGGCACCCCCCTTGTAGGAGACACTGAGATGAGTTTCGGAGTATTTTTGTTTGTGATCATCGGGGAGCTACTTAACTTCCAGACCCAAGGAAGCCAGGGAGGCCAGCTGGCCTGCAGTGTGAGGGACAGTTGCACTGGATAAAGAGTTGTTCCGTACAGACATCCAGAAATGCTCTCTTGAGATACACTGACCAGCCCCTTGTGAGGGTCACGCACCGCCACGCACGTGGGAGCACTTTGAACTACGCGGGCACATGCTCAACAAAGAGAAGACAGTGTCCTGCTCTACCACCTCCTTGTTAACTTTTCCTTTTCTCAAAGTGCATTTGGGAATATGATATATCCTTCGAATAACATTATGTTCCCTTTCAAGAGAAATTTGAATGCAATGGTCCTTTCTTTTAAGGACGGTGTGGATCGTTTTCTGTCAGTTTCACTTGACTTTCATTATTTTTGTTTACTTTTGGCTGTAAGAAGCCTATTTCCAGAAGAATAGCAAATGTGATAAATGATACTCAGTGGACCACAGTATACAAAGCTGTTTCCTGCATTGAGACGGATGGTGAATGATGAGCCTTTTCCTGCTTCCTTAGGTCCAAGTGGGTCTTGTAAAGGAGAAGGACTTACGGACTATTTTGCTTCTCTTCTTCCCTGATCTCTTTCCTATAAATAGTCTCCTTCCTTCCTTCTCTCTTTCTCTGGCTAAGAATATGGAGCCATTTTGGGGGGAGATATTTTCTGTGGCCCTCAACAGGCTTTTTAAGGTTCTCCAGAAACTCAGTGGGTCAGAGAAAAGGACGTGGCCACATTTCTTTGTGACTTCATGAAGTTGATATGCGCTGAACTTTGGAGGAGGTTATATGTAAAGAAGTTAGAAGAAAGATATACATATTACATATAATATACATATTATGTAAACCTTTATTTAAAAAAAAATCGTTTGCCAATGAGTGGTTTATTTATTTTTTTTCATTACTTCTGAGTCAGAGTTTTATATGTGTGGTGTTGATTCTAAGTAGAATCGCTTCTTTTTCAAAATCTTTATTTTAGGGGCACCTGGGTGGCTCTGATGGTGCGATGTCCACATTCAGCTCATATCATGATCTCCAGGTCCTGGGATCCAGCCCCACATCCGGCTCCCAGCTCAGTGGGGAGTCTGCTTCTCCCTCTCCCTCTGCCTTTCCCCCTGCTTGTGTCCTGTCTGTCTGTCTCTCTCTTTCAAATAAATAAATAAATAAATAAATCTTGGGAAAAAAATCTTTATTTTATGAAACATGTTTTGAGAATTTGAGTGAAAACTGTTTTTGAAATGATTTACCATTGTAAGTACTTTCAAATTACTGGAGAAATAATTCAGCAAAAAGAGGTGTTCAATAAAATGTCTTCTTCTATGATGACATTGTTTGTTTTATTTTTAAACAGAGACAAAGCATGGAGGACACAAAAACGGGAGGAAAGGAGGACTTTCTGGAAGTTCATTTTTCACGTGGTTTATGGTCATTGCATTGCTGGGCGTCTGGACTTCAGTAGCTGTCGTTTGGTTTGATCTTGTTGATTATGAGGAAGTTTTAGGTAAGGATTTTAGTATTGTTTCTTATTTGAGTTTGTAAGCATGAAAGACATCCTTTAGTAATCTTAAAAATTTATTATTATTTTGGGGGTAAGTTCTGTAGCCTTTCAGTTGCTCTCAACAGTACAGGAACAAAAGGGGATGTTACCGGGGTTCCCTGGGTGTAGTGGCTTTTCAGCTTCTTCGAACATAATATGGAGTAAAAATCAAAAATTAGTATTTATGTATGTATATTGCAAAGAAAAGTTTTATCAAATAGTGCTTAATTCTTAGGAAATGTAATACTGCATAATTTCTGTTCCATTGTATTATATTATGAATTTTAAACATTTATGAGCCACTGACCTTATGTCAGGACCCAATTTGCAAGACCCTACCTTAGAGAGCATTTAGAAGCACACCCCTTTGTCTTTGTTGGAATGAATCAGTGTGTTTGTGTGTGTGTGTGTGTGTGTGTGCGCGCGTGCGTGTGTAGGTGCTTTCTGTATGCTGTTGAGGAGGTTGCCATGTTTTTTTTTGATGTCTTCCTTTCTCCTATTTTTCCTTTTCTCTCCCCATAATCACTGCAGTTTTTCATGACTTTTTACATTAATGTTTCTTTACCATTTTTGGAGTCATACTTCGAAGTCACAGTCTTTTTTTAAAGTTGAGATAAAATTTACATAACGTAAAAATCAACATTCGTAATATGTGAAAATGTACAGTTTATTCTTTTTAATATATTCCTCATGATCTAATTCAGAATATTTCCATCACCCCCTCTTCCCCTCTCCTGGCAGACACTAATACACTTTCTATGTCTATGATTTTCTTACTCTTGACATTTCCTATAAATAGAATCATACAATATGGGTCCTTTTGTGTCTGCCTTTTTGCATTTAGCATACTGTTTTCAGGCTTCAGTACTTACTGCATTTTACAGCTGAATAATATTCCATTGAATGATTACACACCACATTTTGCTTATCCATTCATCAGTGGTGGACCTTTGGGTTCTTTCTACTTTTTGGCTATTGTGAATACATGGTCTTCCTCTAATGATCCAGTGAAAAGTATGGGCCCTGTCACTGAAAAAAAATGCACGCTCCTCTAGATGTACCATGTCGCATCGAAACCCACCCCGCCTTCCATAAAGACCCTGCACTTCTGCTCTAGATATTAGGTTATAGCCATCTTTCGGTGGGGGGAGACAAAACATGCTGATGGATAATCCTCTGTTTGTTGAAATTTTTCATTATTTCTTAAACGGGAGTGTCTCTGGATAGATAATAGAGTAATAAAGGAAGAATTTTAGTTCGGAGACAAACATCTGAGTAGAAATCTGTGCTTTTGTTGACTTACACAGTGCTGTGTTGCTAGGGAACGTCTATTAGACAAATGAAGAGATTTAAAGTGTTTGTACTTTTAAGGGCAAGTTAACAATTTTCATGTTTTTACATGCATGCAGCCAAAGCAAAGGACTTCCGTTATAACTTATCAGAGGTACTTCAAGGTAGGCTATTAGAGATACATTTTAAGTCTACTTGTTTTGGTCTCTAAAATCTCACCCTTATTCTACTAATTTAGTTATTCCCTGCATCTGAGAAAATAGGTGGTATAGGACCAGTGTCCCCCCTTTGAGTTTGTCAGAAAGTATGGTATTTTCTATCTTTTTAATGTTACTTGAGCTCTCTGCTATAGATCGCCTCCACTTGCTGATCAGCCCTTCTTATTTATATTTTCTTAGCCACAGAAATGATAACTTCTTTATCTCTCTGTTATTGTTATTGTGATTATTTTTATTTTTATTTTTATTTATTTATTTTTTAAGATTTTATTTATTTATTTGAGAGACAGAGATCACAAGTAGGCAGAGAGGCAGGCAGCAGGGAGCCTGATGTGGGACTTGATCCCAAGACCCTGGGATCATGATCTGATCTGAAGGTGGAGGCTTTAACCCACTAAACCACCCAGGCGCCCCTTTATTTTTATTTTTCATGTGTATGTGTGTGCTTTTTATACCGGACGTCTACTCTGCTAGTTAACTATTTTCCTAAGTAGAATGAGGGCTCTGGGAGGGTAAAGATTGCGCATAGCCACTCGACTCCACCAGTTCTGTGTGCTCTCCTGCAGTGTTTTAACTTACACCTTATTAAAGAGTTGGGAACAGTGCTGCAGATTGGTTTTTTAGTACTAATGGCTCTATCTGTGGATGCTGTTAAAAACACTGCTGTATGTGATGTCTCCTCACAGCCGCTGTCCAGTGCTGGTTCTAAATTATGTTTATTTTAGAATGTTTTTTAAGGAATTGAATGTGTTTGACTTACGTTTGGAGTGCTAAACATGGCAGTGCTCCTAGATGATAAAACCTTAAGATAACATTTTACTCTGCTTGAAGAGGAAAGGCTTTGGGAGTACTGTATTCTCAAGTAATCTGTTTTAAGCTTTCTGTGTTTTTCTTGGTAGTAGATGGCCAGTGCTAGTTAAGGTTTTTTGTTTGTTTGTTGTTTTGTTTTTTTAAAGGCTTTTTAAAAAGTTTTTTATTTCTTAAAGATTTTATTTATTTATTTGACAGAGAGAGAGACAGAGAGAAAGGGAACACAAGAAGGGGAGTGGGAGAGGGAGAGGCAGGCTTCCTGCCAAGCAGGGAGCCTGACATGGGACTTGATCCCAGGATGCTGGGATCAGGACCTGAGCCAAAGGCAGACGCTTAATGACTGAGCCACCCAGGTGCCCCACTAGTTAAGTTTTAAGTGGGATAACTAAGATTATTTTTTTTGTCATTTCAGGAAGCCAGTCTTATTAACTATATTTCCAGAAGTCTTTTTTTTTTTAAAGTTGATTGGTGATGTTTCTGTTATGAATCATTATTGTAAAATATAAAATTAATTGCCCTCATATTTTTAATACTTGATGTTATTTGTTTATATTTAGTCTTTATTTGAGGCTTGGTGGATGTTCTTTTTATTTTGAATATTGATGGTGGTGAGGAACTTTCGTTACTGTAGAAGCATTATATTTTGATATAACTGTTAGAAATCAAGAATGTTTCTTATATATGTGGAAATTTTTACCTCAACTGTTTTTGGTAACATAATAAAAAATTCATCTGAAACGATTAAATCAAGGGATTATTAAAACTTTAAGGAAGATATTATCTCAGTTATAGTTCTTAGATCGTAAAGCAAATGTTTACTGAATCTGTCAGTGAATCCTTATCATTTTTAGGTAAGATCTTCATTTAGCACTGCTTTTCAGGATTCAGAGAGCAAAGAATTGCATTGATTGGTAATATTTATGGCTGATGGTCAGGACTGCATTAAGGGGTAATACCTTATCAAACTTGTTTTCCCTTTTCTTCCCATCCATCTTTTCCTCCCTCTTGCAGGAAAACTAGGAGTCTATGATGCTGATGGTGATGGAGATTTTGATGTGGAAGATGCCAAAGTTTTACTAGGCAAGTAGACGTTTTCTTTTTTATTAATGGTGGTAGAATGCTGGAACAAAACAGTATCTTTGCCTTGATAATATGTATGTCTAGTCACACACATTTTATGGATGATGTTTTCCCATTTCAATTCTGTATTTCATTCTTACTGAAATGGCTTAATTGTTTTTCCATGGACTTATATTTCAGCATACTTTTATAATAAATGGATAAGTATAGACCTCTTGCACATATATTTTCAATAACCTAATTTCATATCTGTGTTCAAATTTAAAGTACTTCCTATTCTGAACTTAATATCTGAACATATAGATAATGTACTAGCCTGTTATCAAAGATGGTAATTATAGCCACTCTTTAGCATCAGTTGGTGTAATTCACTTCCATTTGAAACTATAAGTTTCTAAAGGCTTACGTAAATCCATTTTGAAATAAAATCACAGTAGCCAACATTTTAAAATGTCACCTGCATGTTTTAAAGGTAACATTAAAATATGAACCAGTAGTTTTTTGGCCAGGTTTCATTGTTTTAGAAATCTTGAGCCCTTCTCTTTCTACCACCAGAATTACCTTTCTTTATCATTGAGATATTTCGTGTAATGTATCAACATGTGATATTCCCTCATTTGTTTTAAAATGCTGCCTTCCTAGAAGGGATGATGCTGATTTTAATATGCAAGCTTTATGTAATCTGGCCTGGTGAGATGTGTGTTTCTGCTTGTTAAAGAGCATCACTTCCTTTTCTTTACTATTAGTAAAGAAGTGTATATTAGTATAGTAGTATAATATTAGTATTAGTATAGTAGTGTTACATGTGTGCTATGTTACATGTATACTATTAATATAGTAGTGTTACATATATTAAAATCTTATATACTAAAGTATTTAGAAAAATAACAAATACATCATGGTACTATATACCATGCTTACCAGAGTAATGGTACAGAGAAATTCAATTTGGACCCACAATTTTGTGTTTATTTTATGGATATGAAAAAAATGAGAGGGTATCACATCTATAACCAATGAAACAATTTTTGGTAGATTAATCTTAACCTCCATATAAAATAGTAAGTTCTAAATATGGAAAAAAGGGTTTTAGTTGTGATTAAATGTAATTTAGCTTCTCAATTTTGACCTTAGTTTATGTTTTCTTATTACTTCTCAGTGGGAATTATGTTTGCAACTTAATAGTGGAAGCTTACTCTTGATGAAATTTTTTTTTTCCTGTCTTAATCTTAATGGAATTTTTTATGTAATTTTGTCATTACATATCTAAATTTTTCTTTGGATATAGTAAATCCTCAGAAGACTATAATCCTAGACATGAAAAAGAAGTAAGATATATAGAATTTAACCTACCAAAATGATGCTAATTTGCTTGCCTATAAGTGGTTTATTATTCCACTTACTACTTTGCTTTAAATGATGAATTCTGAATAGTGAACCTTGTTCATTTTAAAGATAACTTCATATGGGCCATGTTTCCTCACTTTTAGAAATACTATTCTCATCTGCTATGTTTTGTTGTTTTTCTTTTCTTTTCTTTTTTTTTTGGCTTAAAATCAGCTGTGTGGTCTGTCAGGAAATATCAACTATTAAAAATTGAAATGTTATTTCTTCTATAGACCACACTGTTTTCTATAGAAAAATTAGTAACTTGATTTTTAATATTTTAATACATTTTAAGAGTTTATTTCCTATAAGGTTTTTAAGCAACCATTAAGAGGTTAATTAATTGTAACTTCGAACATTGCCATTTGCAGTAGACATTATTTGGTACGGGCAAATCATAACTTTTTCCTTTTGCAAGAATTATATATTTGGAGTGAGAACCAAATTTTTGGTGAATCTCAGAGTTCATTTTGGTAATTTGACTATTAAATGCACGAAGGCTAAAGTAAATGATTTTATCATATTTTATCATATAATGGTACTAATTCATAGTTAGCTTGTGGCTTCACAGTTAGCTGGAACAAACCAAAGGTGAGCTGTCAGGCTCACTTAAGTCCTCTGATCTTATTTCTGTAATAATTGAGTTCTCTGCATGAAATACAAGCTTGCCTAGAATTGAATTTTATGACAAAAGGTCTTGCCCAGTTTTGTGAGGTTATTGTAGCTTAGTTGTGCCTCTGTTGCTCACAGGAGTTTGCAAAGAGAACCTGGTGAAATTCTTAGGGTACAGAGACATTAACCGGCTCTGTATGTTCAGAGAGAGGTTATGCGGAAGCAAATTCAGTGAGTGTGTACCCAAAAAGAAGCCAGGCTTCCTTGGTGCATTCTCATTGGAGAGGCAGCTCAGAGGTGTAAGGGCTTTGGATTAAGGCACCAGGAAACCAAAGGGCAGATTTGGGTAGGAAGCTAGAGATTAGGGGAGAGCTTGTAGTAACTGTTGAAATAGCTGAGCTTGTAGTAACAGTTGAAATATGCTGAGCTTTACTATATTCGACATTTCTTTCATGAGTATTTCCTTCTCATTCTTAAATTTGCATAATCTAAATCTTATCAATTTGAGGAAGTGTACACATTCATATTTATATTTCATATTTTAAGATTTGGCTTTTCTTTTGAAATACCAAGAGAATGAAATATGTGTGAGTAAATCAAGATATTCTGAACAGCCGTCATTAATTTTATTTCATTGTTTCTGGCCATGGCCCTTATGATATACTTTGAAAATATTCTAAACCTTTCCTAGTTTACATAGCTTCCTACTTTTGTGGTCAAATTATTTAGAATAAATTATCTCTGATATCACTTTGGGTTATTGAAAACTAGATTGTTGGAAATTGTATTCTTTGAAAACTTGTTTCCCAAATAAAATCAGCAGGAAAATGGTCCAGGTACCAGTTGCTAAGAGTAACATCCTTTTCGAGTAATGCCACCCAAGGATTGCATGATTGTCCTTTTGTCCGTGACTAGCACTTTGCTGGCCCCATATCAGGTGTGGCTGGAGAACAAAAGGTAAGCCTGTCAACAATTCCTAGGACCTTGGTAAGCATTTGTAGACCAGACAGATGCATAAGTGCACTGGATCTTGTCCACTCAGAGATGCTCACGCCCTGCCCTTGGGGTCAGGCCCGCTCTTAGAAACTAAGGAATTACATATCCAGGGTAACTCCTTTTTCTCTTTGGTATTTGGTAGTATTTCTGTCTTAAGAACCACAGGAAGGTTGCATTGTTCAGGTACTTTTGCATATTTTTTGAATCCTTCAGCTTGTCATACTGAAGGCTGGTAAAGTTTTATATTTGATACTTAGAAGTACTAATATTTGAAAATAGAGAAAAAATAAACATGTTTATTATAAATACACAGCTATAGTGTTGTTGTTTTTTTTAAGATTTTATTTATTTATTTGATAGAGAGATCACAAGTAGGCAGAGAGGCAGGCAGAGGGAGAGGGGGAAGCAGGCTCCCTGCTGAGCAGAGAGCCTGATGTGGGGCTCGATCGCAGGACCCTGAGATCAGGACCTGAAGCCGAAGGCAGAGGCTTAACCCACTGAGCCACCCAGGCACCCCAGTTATATATAATGTTTTAAGGCAGGAAGTAGAAAGAATGTTATTCCCACAGAGATTTCAGTGGGAATACAGATCTCCTCTGTTCATAGTACTTGTCAACCGTTAAAGTCAGTGAGAAAATATTCCAGTTGTGTCAACAAGTAATTTAAATACCAAAAATACTAACTGGAGTTTGTTTTCTCCCCCTGACCCCCATACTTGAACAATGATATGGTGTAGTTCTTCTGTGCACTGAAGTGGGGAAAAACACTGTATACTTTAATATTTATGCTAGCTGTTTTACTGTTGTACCTTACCTGCCAATCTTGATTCCTGGCTCTTATGCTACATGGAGAAATGTTGAGTTGCCAAAGCCCAGCCTACTGAATGAGGTGGTTATCATCAGGAAAGCTCTCAAGTCATGTTCACATTTCTTATAGGCAGAACTTTCTACCCTGTGTTTTTTCTCTTTCAGAATTACAGGTCTTGTTGTATAGGTCTTGGCTGTATTGGTAGATTTTTATATTTACTGGGCTGAGAGATGTTTCTTACCCAAAGCCAGTTCTAAACAGGAAAAAAAAAAAAGATAAAATCAATATATACTTTGTTTTCTTTACATCGTGGTGGCCCATTTTGGGAATAATATTTTAAAAAAACAACAGGAGTCATGGATCTTTTTAGTCGAAGCTAATTTCTTGGGCTTATGGGAAGAGAGCTTTAAATATTCCTGTTGCAGATGACTGGCTGGAGCCTTGGTCAAATTTAATATTGGTTAGCAGAGTGAGTTATTACTAATAGCTGACTCTTGCTGGTCAGAATTATAGGACCATGAGTAAGTAGCCAGAGCACTGGAAGGCTAACATTTGGTAGTGGGAACATTTGATTATCTGACATAATTTGAATAAATTTATATCCATCTGTGAATGCTATAAACAGTAATCTTGCTAGTCATATTAATCCCAGAGTTTCTTAAGTAAACTCTATATCTGAAGGGAAAAAGTGTGAGGAAATGAACCTTTTTATTTTCTTCAATGAATATTTATTGATATATGTAAATGCTTGTATAATCAACTCTCGATAATATCTGGTTGGTAAATTAGCAAACATGGAGGCTGTCCAGAAGGATCTTTTTACCCTCATATTACTTTTATTCATTCTTCCCATTGACCTTAATCAGTCGATTTTGGCTAACACAGTTTTGTGTTTGGGGCTGTAGATTCTCTAATGAGGGAAAGGCAAACCTAGCTAGGGGCTCATAGGAGTGGCAAGGACTGGTTGAATTGTGCCTTTCCTGCAGTACATGATTGAGAGTTGATTGTAAGGTGTGGATCTTAATCGGTTTCTTTGTTTTCCGAAGTTACCTTTTCTGTTAACGTCTGTGACCATGATGCACGTCCTTTTTGAGATCACTCTTCCTCAACTTCTTTTTTCCACCTAACTGCTCTCCTTATTTTCTCTTTCTCTCTTCCTTTATTCTTATGTAGGCCTGACCAAAGATGGCAGTAATGAA